TTACCAGTAATAACCAACTCTCTCTCTTCTCACCTTTTCATAATAAGAAACAAAAAAATAATCTTTAAAATTGTTTCTCATCAATAAGAAAAAAATGAATCAAAGAAAAAGGGGGCAATCAATGTTTTATGTGAACTGAGTCTTAGACTTCAAGAGACTGAAGGGAGATGTGACAATAAAAGCACCTTTCACATGTCAAATCTGGCTACTCAGGTCTGGGAAATTATACCGGGGATTGTGGAAACTGGCAAGAAAAAATTTTTTTAAATCTTAACTGCTTATGTTGTTAGCAGTTTGAAAGTACATTTAAAATGGCCAGATTTCAAGTCTTTGCAGATGTGGGGTATTTGTGACCAAGGTCTTACCGCATATCCCCCTTTGGTGTAATACACATTGGTATTCTTTATATCTGTTGTTTCCCTGATTGAATGATTGCTTGACTGATTTATTGACCTTCAGTAGTTTAAAACAATAAACATTGATTGTCTCACACTTTCTATGGCTCAGGAATCTGGAAACAGCTTAGCTGGGTGACTCTACCTCAGGGTCTCTCACAAACCTGTGATCAATTTGTTGGCTGGGGCTGCCCAACCATAAAATTTGATTTTAAAAGAGAGAGCAATGGCCAGGAGATTAATTTGTGCAATTTCAAAAGCTACAATGTATAGAGAAAAAGTCAATGATATTTTTAAATGAGCAATATTATCACATTTGTAAAAGTGAAAAGCGTATTAATATTTTAAACAGGCTCTCAGTACATGGTTGAGTCTGAATAAGCAACACCCATGGGAAGAGTAAAGGCATAGATTTTCTAAAATGATTGATATCCAAAATCTTTTCAACTTGGCTTTCAAGTGCAACGTGACCATATGAGCTTAAAGCCTCCTCCTCTCAAAGCAACCACAGAATCTCTCTGTTAATTACCTCTGGGCCCACCTAACTCATAGGTTAAAGACAAAATAGTTAGCCTCTCCAACTGGGCCCTACAGCTCCTGGACTCACTCTGGCCATTCCTGCCTCTTCAGTTTTATCAGACTCCCTGTGCCCTATGCTCCACTCCATGGTCCCCTCGACCACCTACCAAGCTCCTTCCTACCTCGAACCTTTGCACAATTTTTTCCCTCTGTCTTGGCTGTTCTCCCCACCTCACTACCCATTTTATCTGTTTGACTCATAATCATCCCTCGGATCATATCCCAAATATCTCTTCCTACAATACTGCTCAGACTGGATCGGGACTCCCCAGACTCTTATACGCTATACTTGTCCTTCAGGCACTTAAGGCCCTTTTAAAAGAGGCATCCACGTGTTCAATCGTTTTGCCCTTTCATCCCTTCTGCCATGTGAGGACACAGGGTTTAAGGTACCATCTTAGAAGCAGAGACAGAGCCCTCACCAGACACTAAACCTGCCAGTGCCTTGATCTTGGATTTCCCAGACTCCAGAACTGAGAGAAATAAATTTCTATTATTTAAAAATTACCCAACCTCAGGTATTTGTTATAGCAGCACAAATAGACTAAGACACTCTTTCTGTCACTCATTTCCCCCTCGGGACCTAACTCTGTTCACCTGTGCTCTTTCTCTGCAACCAGAGCTGGTGGAGGAAAAGAACATTGGAGGTAACTTCTCACTGATGCCTACCTACTAGGACCCGGCATTTAAATTCAATTATTTCGTTCTTACTCTGGCTTCTAGGAAAGATCAGAGGCTGACGTTTGTTTTCATAAGAAAGTAAAAATGCTTCACTTTGTATTATCTATTTTTCTGGATTATCCTGGCCATTATTACAGATAATTGTGACCTGGTCAAACATGGACCTTCCATTTTAAGTTTTTATGAAAACGATACTTTTCAAAAGGGGTTAATTCTTATCAAAGCCAAGCTGTATGAAAATCAATAATAGCTAAATGTATCACTGGAACTATGAGTGCTCTATAATTATTTTTAAGGTGGTTACTTGTCATTTATTTATTTATTCATTCATTCAGAAAATATGTACTGATCCATCTTTGTGCCAGGTATTGTCCTAGGATCTATACACAAGGATCAGTGAGGCTCTGCTGATAGCCTAAGAAATCTACAGTCCTATACCACAAAACCTCAAGAGAGGATTGAAGAAAAAAGAGATATCTTCAGGTCAGATGAAAGAAATGACCTTCAAAAAATTCAAACTGCGATTGGACTAAAGTTATCAAAGCAGACTTTGATGATGTGGCACCATCATGTTCTCAGGAATCTGCCAAAGAGGCACAAAGGTGTATTCCTACAGACACCCACCACTATGCCTGTGAGAGTCTGCACGATCTTCCCAGGAATCTTTCTAAACAGTGATGAGTACTCTTCTTCCTGGGAAGTTTTACATGTGGTTATAACTGTGGTCCTATCTGAAGGCCAACAAAACACATATGTGATTTTTATAAGTTCTGTACCACAAAACCAAATGACCACCCAAAGGTATATTTTGGGCTTTCCATTTGTTTTGGAGCTCCCCAGACCACCTACGTGTTCAGTTATTCTCTAGAAGGACTCCTGGGACTCATATATTTGTATTCACACCTAAGGTATATTACAGCAAAAGAATATACAGCAGGTTCAACAATGAAAGAAGACACAGGTGGAATCTGGAGAAATCCATTTATGGGGTTCTGATGTTTCTGTGAGTGGACACATTGAGTGTATTCCCTTCTCTGCCAGTAAAATGTGCCGTAATGTATGTGCAATGATTTTTTTCCCAGGGTAGCCCATTAGACCCTCAGCAGCCAAGGTTTATACTGGGACTGGTCACATGGCATTCTTTGCCTGGCAATTACCAAAATTCTGGAATACCAGAAAATAGTAGGTGTTCACTACAAATTACATTGTCTAGGCACAGTGAATCATCTTTATCTATTAGGGAATGGAGAGACTATTCCAAAAGCCAAGTTTCCAGATGCCAGACAAGGGCTAAACTTGCAAGCCGGACCTTCTGAAGATTAGCAGCCTCAGGCTCACCGTATTAACTCTCTTCTGCACACCATTCTTTAAATCTTCTGCCAGAATATATGTTGTAGGAAATAGAAAAGCTCACATTTATCTCTCTTTGTATATATGGCTAAAGAAAATGTCACTAGCCTCAATTTTTACATAGGGTTATCACGAGAGTTATTTATTGCAATTATCAGTTTTAAAAAGGTATTACTGTTACTAATAACATTATTACTGTTAATTTTAGTAGTAATTAGTGGTAGCAGTGACAATATTATTAATTTCTATAATTAATATATTGTATGTCATGTCTATATAATATTCATATTAATTCTTTCAATGATCTTTAACATTCTTTGAAAGATTTTAACATGCTAAGATCATGAAAATTTAGGGAGATTCTGTGTTTGGTTTTTTATTTTCCTTCTAATCTGTTACCTTCTTTAACAGGGCAGACTTTCTGCAGCTTGAAGGAGCTGACCATGGATATCAGGCGTGTGAAGGACTATTTCTCCTGGCTCTACTATCAGTACCAAATCATTAGCTGCTGTGCTGTCTTGGAGCCCTGGGAGAGATCTATGTTCAACACCATCTTACTAACCATTTTTGCTATGGTGGTGTACACTGCCTATGTCTTTATTCCAATCCACATTCGCCTGGCTTGGGAATTTTTCTCAAAAATGTGTGGATATCACAGTACAATTTCTAATTGATCTTGTCTGCATTCTGTGAAATGGCACTGCATATTTATATGTTGCTTACAACTCATTGATTTAGGTGACTACTGTGTCTTTCACTATCTGACCTGAAAAGCGTTCTTCTCTATGCACTCATATATCCTGCCTGAAATTTGAGATAGATGCCTCTTTAATTTCTTTTGTACATGCTACATTGTGCATTAGACCATAGATAAAAGAATGAATTTACCTCACATACTGTAGCCATTCAATGAAAATCTATGACTTTAGATTTTTTTTTAAATCAGGACAATTTCATATAAAATTTTTCCAGAAAATAGGCTTATAAAAGATCTATCAGAATCATATATAAAATGCTCCCTGATACCTATTCTATACTGAAGGGTATATTTTAAAATTTTTCTTCATAGGCTACTGTCAGAAGTATCCTATATTTGTTTACAATGTATAATAAAAAGATGTGAATAAATCACATGGACCCCCTAAAGTTTTATTTTCTAGTAAACTGCTGATACCTAGAATTCTTTAACTTCAAGTGCAAAAGAATAGGCTGGAGGCAATTATTTCCTTTCAGACAAGGTTCATAAATTGTTTCAAATGCCTCTGAAAGTCTGGCTTTATAACAGTTTAAAATCAACAGTGTTGATTTTGGATAACCAAGTAAGTATTATAATACAAAACAATTTTAAGTATAAGAAACAAAATATAATCAAAGTAAATTCAGATATTGTGACTTTTGATGTTGCCTTGCCTTGCATGATACTGAGGAAAAAAGAGAAAAGAAATTGTTTTCTTTCTGTGCTTTCACTCAGTGGAGGAAAAAAAGAAGCATGTACTAGGCTACAGGAAGAAAAGCTAATAAATAGACTGGAAGTAATATTCTACCAGCAGGAACTCAACAGCTCCAGGTTAAGTGCTTTGATATAGTGGCTCCTTTGCAGAGCAGAAACAAGATTTATTAAATTTTCTTCGAAGTGTTTATCTTAAAAATAAATATGAGTTTTTAATTATACTGCTGAATCAAATGTGAATGCCAAAGACCAAGCCTTGCAATTTTTCTTTCCTCTCAATAAATATTAATGTTAGTAATTCTGGAGAGTAAAAATGTAAATAGCTTTTGGACAGTATTTGCACCCTTGCCTCTGTTATAAAAAAAAAATTTCCAGGGAGAGATAGAGAAAAAGATGTTTGGCATGCCAGATTAATTTGCATGTTTGTTTAAAAAAAATGTTTCAAAGAAAATTCAGATCTGAACATGTATTTGTTGATTTTTGCAAAATAAAATTAAGTTTAATTTTATAAGTAAAATATCCATTTCCAGATTTAACTTTTTTCTCATATTGCACTAAATATCTAGGGGCTATGTCATATTTCTTTCCAAACATCATTTCTTACTAATCCAATGTGGCAACTGATCTTAAAATGGTAGATAAAACTAACATTTATCAAGGGACTCCCCCATGCTAGACACATTTTACATGTTGAAGGAGGTATTGTCTCCCACTTACAGGAAAGGAGCCTGGAACTTGGAAAACTTATGTTTTTCGTTCAAGGTCAGTTAGCTTGTGGCAGCATAGCAAGGATGCACACCCAGGTCAGGACTACACTGAGCTCTGCAGATGTTTGGCACATGGAAGCCCAAGGGAGGACCATGTGAGCAAATGAAAGTTGACAGGATGGGGGTCACCAATATGTTAGAAACCAGAACTCTATGAAATAAAAGGGGTTAGGGCATGAGGAAACAGCCACGGTTGGAGGAACAAGCAGCCCAGGTCCCAGCTTCCACCTTTGGTCTGTACCTGGGGGGCTGTGCTCACCCATTTCTATGCTTCCCTAGCCCACATACCTATTTTGAAAGGCTGTATTCACTTTTAAATATTTTACAGAGGATTCTCAGTTAAGCATGAACTTGGATGCATTCCCAGTTCACAATGATTCAACACCGTTATATACATGGACCCCTGCTAAGTACTCTCGGAATTCAATCACAAAGATACTGCATTGACCTTCCCAAAATTCTCCTTCTAAAAATATGAGAGTTAAAATAAACATGAATAGAAACAGTAAAGCTTGATAAAGGATTATTGAAAAGCCCACATTGACCCCAGTAGGTCACTTTAAAGGCAGACATTACCTCTGAGCAATCAAAATAATAAATACAGGGTCCAAAAAATATAATCAAACATAGTTTGGGAAAAAAAATCTATCAGCATGCAGTGGGGGAGAAAAGAAAACTACCTGCTCTGTGTTCTGTTGATTTTCTGGACTTGGCAGATGCAACCTTTATCTTGACACATTAGCCTAAATTAGAAACACTGATGTATTTTTCCTTTGCTTCTATTACTTGGATATTTCAATAATGTGCACAAAACTTTTTTTAAAAAAAGGCAAAGTTTCTATAGTTCCAACGGACTCACATTTGTCACTCACCAAACTAGGAATCATACAATGTTCTTTTCCTAGTATCGGCCAGGTCAACAATTGCCTTTATCTATTGCCTTTATCTACTTGTGCAACAAAAAACACAAAATGCCAAGAAATTGGCCAGTTTTAACATCAAGATAACCCTGATCAGTCTTTATTAAGTTGTGGGGGAAAAAATCACTAGTCAACGTTTTCTACCTCTTTCTTCTTCCATCACTAACATATTCAGGCTCTGTCTCAAGTGTGCTGCTGGAAGGCAGGAGATTTGTCCTTATTTCTGAATAGCCAGTATATAGCCCAGAGCCTGGTACAGGGCTTAGCAGGTACACACCCTAGGAAACATTGTGTAGCTCCCCATACCCTGTATCTACACAAAAACAAGGAAGTTTGATATTTGTACTGGGCCAGTCTCAGAGTGGACAGCTTCTGGCTGTGGACCAAAAGAGTAACACCTGATTATTCATTCAACAAATTTATGAAAAGTCAACCATATACTAATGGATAGATAGAAGGAAGTAACACCTGATTATTCATTCAACAAATTTATGAAAAGTCAACCATATACTAATGGATAGATAGAAGGAAGGAAGACAAATAAATATGTGATGGAAAAAATATGATAGAAACTAGGTGATATTCAGGCGTTCGTTGTCAAATTCTTTTTTTTTTTTTTTTGGTAAAATTCTTTTAACTTTACTGTACATTTGAAATTTTTATTTAAAAAATGATAGGGAAAAAAGCCTACCATGTGCTAGTCATTAAGCTTCATACTAAGAAAGAAAGATGAATGAGAGACAGAAACAGAAACATCCCTGAATTTATGAATCATATGATCTGGTGGCAAGATAACCAAAAAAAAAAGCAAACAAATTATATAAAATATTTACAAATTGTGATAAGTTCTTATGAAAGAACAGCAGCATGCTGGAGAAAAAGTGACAAGTGGTTGGGGATGGTGGAACACGTTTCTTCTGGCTGCATTAGAGCAAGATCCAAACCTCTCTCGCTGCAGAACTTTAAGCAGGAGGGCGATGTGGGAGGGATGGGATGTTGTTTACACTGTAAGAAAATGACGCTGGCTGTTGTGTGCGAGTGGATGGAACAGGGGCATGAGTTGGGGCAGGGAGAACCAATGCAGCTTTGCAGACTAGAGTGCAGCTTTGCACCACTAAGGTGGTGGTATAGGAGTCACAGAGAAGTGGACAGACTGATTTGATGTATATTTTGGAGCTAAAAAGTCAACAAGTCTCGCTGATGGCTTGACTCAAAGGCAGTATTTCCATTAAATACAAAATACAGTCTTTTCTTAACATCTAACCCAACCATAAGAAACTTCCTCCTCATCTTGGGAGTTATTTCCAGAGCTGATTTTCAGCTGCCTCTAAGAAAGAAACTTTTTCAGAGGTCGAGGAAATCAAACTTTGTATATCTTTACTATTTTTCCACTTTTTAAAGCATCACTGTATCTCTTCTAGAGTCCTTGTACATCTGATTGGAATAAAGAACTCTGATTTTCCATCATGGAAGAGAAAGTAATTCTCCAGGTACTCTGAATCATCTACACTGACTAACTAAAATATCAATAGCACAGTTGTTCCTAGGGATTAAATTATTCTAACACCCATTCTAGACCATGAAAAGACTCTGAGAGCAAACTTCAGGGTTTGGGCTGTCTTTGATTCATTCCTGAATTATTATGCTGACAATAACGAAAGTAATAACACTGAGAAGATTTAATGGTGAGGCTGAGGAGGAGAGCAGACCAATTTTTTAGTTATTTGCTTAGAAATCATAAGGAAATGGAAGGAAGAAGGAGTTCCAAAGTAAAACTACCATTGCCTTCACTATAATGACAAAGCTTATATCTGTAGCTTTTTTGTCAACCTTTGTGAGCAACTACGATGTACTCCGTTGACAATATCCACACTCCTAATCACTTCCAGATGAAATTCAAAATTTGAATTGCTAGTTTTTATTATTGTATTTCTGTTTCTCTCTAATGGAGAGAAAGTGCTGAGTCGGCACTTACCCCAGACGTCTGGTTACGGTTAAGGGAGAAGGGAAGAATCTCCACAGACTGCAAAACAGACTGGAGAGTACTGTCTGCCCCACCCACCCAGCCTCTGCCCGGAGCAGCCACGCGCACACGTGAGGCAGCTGAGTTTTCTGGATGGCATCATCCTCATGGCCAGGGAAGCAACAACTAAGGACAGCATGTGTCACTGCGTTATGGTGCTTGGATTGCCATGACACCTGTAGAAAGGGACAAGGGAGAAGGGAAGGGGGGGTGTGGGAGGGGAGAAAAGAAAACAGGAAGAGAGAAAAGCGGAGGAAAAGCGAAGGAACATTTTCCTTTTGTATTGAGTTTACACTGGGAAGGTCTCACAAGTAAATTGCAGTTCCCTGTCCTCATTCCTCAAAGAATTTCTAGATCGCATGTATTTTTTCCTAACATGAGCCATATCCGTATGTTTTACATCCCTATTCATATTAATATTTCAGTTTACTTTGTTAAAATAATTCACTTTTGCCCAGGTTTAAAATAAGTCTCCTGAATAACCAAGCAGCTGATCCCATCCTCCAGTGGGTCTTACATCTTCCCTCCTCTACAGCACGGCTTTTATGGTGCCCTCTGCCTCGCCCCATCCCCAGCCCGACTCCATCACTACTTCTGGAGGTTCAACAACCTCCTGTAGAAAAATGGGGATGGGGGGAGATGGAGGTAAGTCTCTCCAGAGGTTCTTCCAATTAAAAAAATCACTATTCTATGAAATTCTAGTGACTCTCAGCATTTCCGCTTCCTGAAGCTTTCCCTGATTATTGATAGAAAACTGACCCTTCTCTCTGGCATTTGTAACCCTAGCACTATTATTGTTGGGGGAGAAAGGTAAAACAGCCATAGATAAAACAAACAAACAAACAAAAAAACCAGATAAATACACAAGATCCCAAGGAGCAATCAAATAGTCCTTCTCATGAGATTCAGGTGAGAAAATCTAGCTCATTCAAAGGGTGGTGTATTTATGGGGGAGGCCACCTAGAAGGATTCAGCTTGCATTTCAGTAGCCACCAGCACCCTTTACTCCTCTCCTCTCGTGCCTACACAGTCCCTCAGTCCTTTTGAACCTCTTCATGGCCCTTGCCCTGACTACTCCAACATGCAGGCCCCAGAAGATTTACTGTCTTTCTCTGCAATCTCAGTTTTCACCATTGGATGGACAGGGGCATGAGGGACTTGGGGTGGAGACAGGCAATGATCTGAGTAGAGGAAAAAAGGGGAAGTTGTTCATGTCCTGATCTAGCCAGTAAATAAAGTACCTAAAAAATCAGCTGTCAAAATATAACCTTCTGGTATGGTAACTTATCTTTCCCATCTTATTATGCAGAAGCAATACCTTCCAGCTCTGAGTTACATTACCCTGTGCCAAAGAAAGTACCCTGCTCCAAAGAGAGAGAGAGAAAAAGAGAAGTCCTTCGCCCACATATGCATATTCTGTACCTCTCAGGTGTCAGCTACCCAGAGTTATGCAGGTGTTGCTTCCAGAGAGCACAGAAAGCACAGACCATGCTTTTTGCACCATGTATTCTCATAAAAGCTCATTAAATTGATAGGGTGATGAATTAAGTCATTTTTACAATTCTAGGTTAGAAGAATTGAGTCATATTCCAGACATGATTTGTCACTAGAATTTGCATTGAGTGACTCTTCTGTAAAGTGAGTTTTTAAACATCTGAACAGATAAGTGAAGGTTTTGAGAGACTGCTGTCCCTCCCTCACATGCTCCTACCTATTGCTCCTTCTCTCCCACCCCTACGTTTACTCTCACAGCAATCCTCACATGAGCATTTT